GAAGTCTAAATGAAATTTTTGTCATGTTACAGTTATTCCTAACAAATTCTGAGACATTTCAAACAAACTGAGGAAAACTGATCATTCAGCTGGAGATACTAACACATCTCTCTGCTCTTTGTAGTTCAACATACCTTTGCTATGTTTGCTGGAACACCAAAAATCAGGACACATTTCAAGCCGTTTGCCACAAGTGGATTCAACATTTCCTCCAGCTTGTTCACCCCATGTCTATAGAGAGGAACACACGTGATATAGATGAGCGTCACGACACAAAATGGTTATGGAGGGAAGGCGTGTATGGGAGTTTCACTACATTATTATTATTAGAAATACTGACAAAAAAGTTCTGATGTCAAACAGGGATTTCAAGAGCTGTGTACAGTTCAGAGACTGGTATTTAAGATAATATTATTAATATTAACTTTATTTATGTATCACCTTGTAAAAACAGAGTTTAGAAAGTGCTGTACAGACAGGACAAAATGGAAAGAAGAAAAGACCATCGACGAAAAAGTAGAGAAACAGAGTTAAACATGGTTAAAGATTCACAAAATAAATCAATACAGCAAAAACCAGCAGGGGGCGAATAAGATTTTGTTTAAAAAGCAGGAAAAAAAACTAAAAACAAGAATAAAAGTAATAATTTTAATAATAATAATAGAAAATAAATGAATAAAATAAATTAAAAAAGGGTTAAAGAATGAAAAAGACAAATAAAATGGATGACGTCTGCTAATAACCTTCATCTTGAAAAAATGAAATGCTGATATCATTCAGAAGACAAACATTCTAAAACTGTAGATAATCCAGCTCCAGTAACTATCAGGAAATATTGCGCACAGCGACATTCCTAATGAGCTCATTTTTCTGCAGTAGGAATCGTACGCAAATACGGACTTGCGTCCTTGAGTATTGAGAAACGGCCTTGTGTAGATTTGGAACAGCAAGTATCCCAGAATGCATTTGGCGCCACCAGCGATAAAAGCCGAGGAGAAAACATTTCATTATAAGGTTGCTTTATAAAGCAAAGGAAATATGCACAGAAAAATGTGTGCATTAGGAATGACACTGTGCACATATTTCCTTTGCTTTTAAAGCGACCTTATAAAAATAAATAAACCAAAAAATAAAAATGAAAAAAACTTACAAATAAATTGAAAAATTTAAAATAAATACATTTTAAAAAAGTTTAAAAAATTAAATAAATAAATAAAATAATTTTAAAAAATAACAATTATTATTTTTATTATTTTATTTATTTGTCTTTATATTTTTACTTTTATTAGCCTTTTCTTTGACGGATTCATTTTTGATTAATATTGCTTTATATTGCCACATGATTTATTTATTCTTCTTGTTATTTCCACTTTTATTGATTTATTTTTGTAACTTGGCACTCTCACTACTCCAAACACAACACTTGTATTTTTAGTGTAATTCATTTGTCAAAAAACGAGACAAAACAAAAAATAAACAAAGTTAAAGACGAATTTAAATGATTGATTTTTTTTCTATAGATATTGTGATAATTGTGAAGTAAAAATCTGATCTAATGACGGCTGTAGTTCAGTCTGTTGTGTGTTGAAGAAGGAAACAGGTTTGGTTTTGTAAAAGCTCTAACGGATTCTCCTCTTATCTTAGTCCAGGTCCAGTATCTGGCTCTGGGTCCACCCTGCCTCACTGCTTCTATCTGAAGACAACACCCAGAGAGGCTTCACCGCTGCAGCGTGACACTGTTTTGTGATTTTTCTTAAAACTAACACTTTAATCCCCTGATGACGATATCCACATGAGAACAAACAGGTTTTCTAATGTTGCTGTGATGATTTGAACCCAACAGATTACAGGTATGATTCAGTCGATGACAGTGTTTGTGAGTCTTACCTGGCCTGTCCTGGCAGGCTGTTGATGGGCTCCACTGCATCTGCACTGTCTCTGCAGCAGGAAGGGACAAAACACAAGACTGAGACCGGTTCTGTTGAAGCTCTGAGTGCATTGTACTAAACATCAGACAGTTAAATGTGAATATTAAGACTTTTATCAATAGTTTATGCATTATCAGTTGCAGTATCATGAGTAATATTTCAATTTTAAGCAAAATATTTCAATGTAATATTTCATTTTTAAGATACAACAGAGAAATATCATGTGTAGTATTTTTATTATGGTGTGTGATATTACGTCACTACCTTAACTTTCCTCATCAAATCTTATTTTAACTCAGTAATTGTGGACAAACTAAGTCATTCTGGATAAGTTTCACATCATTTTGGACAAATTTCAAGTCATGTCGGACAGTTTTTGTCATGCTGGACAAATTTACAGACACTTTTAGACAAATTTGGATTCACTTTGGACAAATTAAGGACATTGTTGACAAGTTTTTTTTTTGTTTTCATGGACACATTTTGAGAATCATTGCCAGTCTCACCCTTTACTTTTCCATTCTAGTCTTATTTCAGACCACTAATGTTTAATTTGAATAATGTCTCGTACTTGTAACTCTGTATTCTACCTGGCATTGCATTTTCTCACATTATGAAATTTTGTTTTTCTGAACAATATCTGGCAAAAGAATCACCTTCTGAATTAATTGATGAAGTTTTCTGTTATCTATCTTACTAAACTAAACCCAGAACCCCAAATCATTTCATATTTATTGACCCCTGATCTCAAACTTGTCCTTTCTTGTGATTATAAGTGAAACAGACTTGCACGTAACAGAGAGATCATACTTACGTGATGAAGATTGGGTAGATGAGATTGTCAGGCTTCAGATCAGCAGCGCAGCTCTGCCAGTATCGGAGTGTTTTGTGGAAATAGCCGCTGTGGATGATTGACTCCGCTGGCGTCTGCATCTTTACCCTGAATCAGACACAGTTCTGTTGTTTCTTCACCTCACAAGCACATATACAGTCCTGCAGTCACAGTCTTTTGCTTCTGCTCAGTGACCGTTCAAACTGACCAAGCATGCGTGATGCTGCTGCTGCTTCTCCAAACAGCAGCTCGGCTCCCAGTCAACAGGTTTCTGCTCTTAAATAAGAACATTTTATCTTATCGGGCTATTTTTGAACTATTTCTTCATGGTGACTCATGCACAGGGCTGGGTGGTAATTTAATGAGATCATTAGGTGGTTTAATTGACTCACAGGAATCAGATTGTGATGTCATGTTTGCAATTTTAGTCACTGGAACAAAATCAGCTTTTTATTGATAATGTTTTGGGATGAAATGCACCAAAGTTGGTTTAGCTCAGACCTTAATGTCATCAGCAACCACTAAAGCAAGAAACAATGGAAACATACTCACACTAACTACATTTAACACATTTAAAATAAACGAAATTAATGAAAGAAAACAGAAATTAAAGCATGTTACATTAGGATCTGCATCACTAACTTGATCTTTAAATATTCATGACTTCAGAAATGAATCAGCAAAAGGAAAACTGCCACTTTAGGATGACTTTACAGTTCTGGTGCATGGATCAGTGAACTTTAATTCTACCAGAGCAGATAAGTGAACATTATGAACAGAGCAGGACGTGTTGTCACCTTGGTCAGAAAACAGCTTCGGACTGACTCTGTAGAGTTTAAACCAAACCGAGCAGCAGGTTGTGTCTTAAGTTAGTGGAAATACGATTTAAAGGCATAACATAAAGGTGAATACATGTAAATTAATTCAGCGTGCTTACCTGTGAGGACGAGAGTTCCTGACTTCTCCACACTTCAGACTACTGAGCGTTTCTTCTTCTTCGGTGGTTTATTTGTTGGAGCTCCACGACGCCACCTTCCGGTTGCTTATGTTAAAGTTAATAAAAACGTTATTTAATCTATATGTAACAGTAAATATATCGTCCTCTACAGCTAATGCAGGTTTAACTGGTAAAACACAACTAGATAGCATAACTAGTGAGAAATTTAAATAAGAAGGAGCGTCCCTTTTGGTCTCCTCGGCCACCGTAGGATCCCGTCTTCTCGCGTTATTTCCCGGCGGCGAGAACCACAGCAGAAGCTACGATGCTAACAGCTTCTTAGCATTGTTGTGTACTGGCGGTTTCGCATGTAGCTAGATGGAGAAACCAACGGCCGACTGTTTGTAAGGTACGTCAAAGTGTATCAACAGTAAAATATGTTTTGTTTATGTGTGTAAATGTGCGTTGTGTTAATAATTCGGGGCTCAGGGTCGCCTCTGTGGTTAGCATCAGGATCGGCTACGTTATGAATCAGGGTTGTAGCTCGACTTTGATGCTGAACGTTATTTTTTACAGTTTGTGTCGCAGCAAACGGAATCTAGCAGCATCAGGCGGCGAATAGTTTAAGTTAGCAAGGGTAGATAATGAACTGACAAGGCCACGAAGTCAGAGGAAGACAACTGAAGTCACCGGCTAACCTGACTGGATGTTTGCTCAGTCAGATGGGATCGGGGCCCAGTCCAGTCCAAAACACACATCATAGAAGTGACTACACCCTTTTTGTATTAGCACTTAAATGTCAAATGATGAGACGTTTAATCACCTCTCAGTAACTACATGATTTCTAAACTGACAAGTAGAGCATTTCCTTCTATGAGCAATCAAAAGCAGCTACTTTATAAAGCTTATATTGGAACCACAGGCCCCAAAGTGCAGCAAAAGTGAACATGATCACTGACACACAAGTTAGAAAACCTGGGATCACTGAAGCAAAACTGAAGTAAACTTGTCTATCTCAATCAACCCGACTGCATGACCGTTGTTTTTAAAATTATCTGTGAACACCAGAACTTTCTGGTTTGTCTGCATCATGGCTCCATGTGGAACTGCCAGAGGATTTGACTTCACAAATATGGAAGAGAATACAGGAAGATCCGTTTCTAAAAACCACTCAAAACACCGTTGCAGCAGTAGTCAGATGGTATAGACCAGGGGTGGCGAACTCCGGTCCTAGAGGGCCGCAATCCTGCAAGTTTTAGATGTTTCCCTCTTCCAACACACCTGATTCAAATAATCAGAATCGTTATCAGGCTTCTGCAGAGCTTGATGATGAGCTGATCATTTGAATCAGGTGTGTTGGAAGAGAGAAACATCTAAAACATGCAGGTTTGCGGCCCTTGAGGACCAGAGTTCAACACTCCTGGTATAGACGGTCCCATAGTACCACTAATCAGAGCTGCGGTGACCGTCCTCCTAAAATGACACCTCAGACGGTGTCCTACTTGCAAAGCGAGCAGCTTCAGACTCAGCACAGGAGTTATGACTAGAAATCAGAGTTTCTGACAGCTCAGACAGTGAGAATGACATCGCACAACGTCATCCTCTATGGACGGTACAGAAAAACCCTTGCCTGCTCTTCTGCAAAAACCTGCAAGATGAACTTTGCTAAAGAACGTGAAAGGAAACCTGAATGTTGAGAGCTCGTTTTTTAGTCATATGAGACAAGATGTGTTTATTTGGCTCAGGTGGGTTCAAGTATGTTTGATGAAAACCTGCCCAGCAGTGAACGCATAATCCTGACAGTGAAGCACAGAAGTGGGAGTGAGGCTCCATGAGTGCAAAAGGTGTTGGAGAGATAACATTAATAGATGACAAGACTAACTCCTGTTGATACATCAAAAGACTGTCTGACAACATGACTGTCAGTCTGCAGAAGCTTGAAGAAAAGGAATGTTCCAGCATGATAACATTTAAAAGCACAATGTAAAATTCATACAGGAGTTTCTAGAGATGACAAAAATGAAAACTATGACCTGACCAAGTATGTCAACGACTTGAAACCAACAGAACACCTTTAGGGGTTTTTGAATAGAAAGGTAGAAAAACACCACCCCTCCAGCAAAGAGCAGCAAAAAAAGTAGTTCCTGAACACTGGCAGAACATCACAAATGCGGTGTCCTCAGTGCTGAAGTGGATTAAGTTCTACAGTTAAAATGAAGGTGAACATAAAATAAAAGATTAGAAAGGTGTAATGACTTTTGTTGTGCTGTGTTCCTGTGGTGGGGGCTTTGTTTTTAAAATACTATTATAGTTTCTAATTTTACATATGAGCAAATACTTTAATTAGAAGTGATGACATTACTGTGAGGTGATAGTTTTGTGTCATTTCACATTTAAGTAATGTTGCACAGCAGTGTACTCAGTCCTGTTGTGTGTTGTTGATTGTGTGTTGGATGTCTGTTTGTCATCAGTTTTGATAAATGCAACACAACGCTATATTTCCTCTTTAATGTTGTTGTTTCATTTCTTGCCCTCACCTCTCCCATTATCATCCTCAGGGTGGATTTGAAGATGTAGCCATCAGTGGGTCGTCTCTGCAGCACCTAACCACTCCTGCACCGGGATAATCAACGGCCCCTGCCCTCCACCCTCCGCCACACTAACCCTGGAGCACTTCCACTCCTAGCCAGGGCTGCCCAGTGCTCGACTCAGCCGTCCTCAGTCAGTCCGTCCCTGGTTGAAGACCCCGCTGTCCTCAACCATGCTGTTCTCCCTGAGGGAACTGGTCCAGTGGCTGGGCTTCGCTACCTTCGAACTCTTCCTCCACCTGCTGGCTTTGCTGGTCTTCAGCATGCTGGTCGCTCTGCGAGCCGATATGTTTACCCCCACGTTGAGCTGGTGGCTGGTGTTCGTCCCGCTGTTCTCTGCCGACGGCCTCAGCACCTACTTCACGGCCATCGTGTCCATCCGGCTGTACCAAGAGAACGAGAAGCGCCTGGCGGTGCTGAGGCTCCTCTGGGTGCTGACGGTTCTCAGCTTGAAGCTGGTGTGTGAGGTCCTGCTGTGCCAGAAGCTGGCTGAGCAGGAACAAGCCAGAGACCTGTATTTTGGCCTCATCGTCTCGCCACTGTTCATCCTGCTGCAGCTGTTGATGATTCGAGCGTGTCGCGTCAACTGAGGAGGGGCGGCTAGTGGAAGTGCTTTCACATCACCGACCACAGCAGAGAGCAGTCTTCATCTGCCGTTAGAGATTTAAAGCATAACATTGGCATCATTTTCCTTTTGGCTCAGTCTCACCTTTTTACACAAAAAAGTACATGCAAGTTTGTCATGTTCCAGGTCACGCCAGAATCTAGTTTTCTAGAATTTGTGTTTTCAAAGCTTCAGAATTAGAAGATTTACTTGCCTGCTTGAGTTACGATGCAGTATTTTGAAAAAAGAAGAAGCTGAAACCAATGAATTAATGGAGTCAGTTATTGATAGATAAAGACTGTAAGTTGTTGTGGTACCTTTATGGCTACAGAGAGGATGTCAGGTGTGTATTTGGAACACAGGAGTGCCTCTTCATTGTGCAATCAATGGTAGACAATGAGCCAGGAGGAAAATTTCTGCCAGAGTTATGGTTTAATGCGTATGTGCACACGACACTTGTCAATTCAATAAAGTTGGGAGATCTCAAGTCAACTCTCGTGGGTAAGAGATTCCAAAGAGTTGTTGCAGCTTTGTTGCTTTAATTCCCCAAAGGAAGGCACTGCTCGCCCATAAAAATCCGGTTAGGTTTATTCTCTCGTGTCTCACTTTGTTGCCTGTTGCTGAGAGTGTCGCTCGTATGTCCCCTGAAACCACCCAACCTCCATCAGTGAGAACGGTTCTGGACTGGAAGAAGCTCGGTTCTGAAACCTGTCTGCTCGCAGTCTCGCCCCCAATGCAGAAGAACTGAATGTGATTTCCACGAGCAGTGGATGGTGTGCACACATCCTCCCTGAACATCGCTGTTTATTTTCACAACATGTAATGTACTTGATCTGTTTCTGCTCAGACCTTGTGTATGCACCGCATGTATTTAAGGCCTCATTTAAAGGTAATTCCTGATGTGAAATTATGTGGAATATGTATATGTTGACTTTTGGAAAGACATTCACGAAACCTTATTTATGTTCTTACGTTTTTGCTATGGCACCTTTATTGTCACATGTATATAAATGTAAATAAAACATCAACATTTAACCAACGTTTAGTGAATGTTTTGAGTGTGCTCGCTGTGTGAGTGTCCCCCCTCTGGCCACAAGGAGGTGACACTGGCCTTTTTATGGGTGTGGTGCGCTTCAACTTAAAGGACCTTACCAGAGATATAATTTTTTTATTTATTTATTTTTTACTACACTTTATCCATCCTTCCATCATCTATACACTGCTTAATCTTCATTAGGGTCACGGGGGGGGGGGGCTGGAGTCTATCCCAGCTGACTCAGGGAGAAGGCAGGAGACACCCTGGACAGGTCACCAGTCTATCACAGGGCTACACTTAGAGACAGACAACCAAGCACACTCACATTCACACCTACGGACAATTTAGAATCACCAATTAACCTCAACATGTTGATACTCCCTTGTGGGAGGAAGCCGTAGAGAACCCACTCTGCACGGGGAGAACATGCAAACTCCACACAGAAAGATCCTGGTGCCCCCACAGGGACGCAAACCGGCGACCTTCTTGCGGTGAGGCAACAGTGCTACCAACTGCGCCACCTTGCAGCCCAAAACGGAATCAGCTGTGGTTCGAACTCACGACCTCCGTATCGGGACTATTGTCCGATACGGGGAGTGTCAAATCAACCTTGTGAGCTGTTGCAGCACTGCACTTTATAACCAAAATATAAAAATCACTTCCCACCAGCTTCTAAATCACATTTTGCTCCTTTTCTGGAAAACATATTAATATTTCTGCCTGTATTTGACATTAAATTCAATGCAGGTTTACATGCTGCATATACTGAACTCATATTACACTCTATAGATTGATTGAAAAGACCAACCACTTAATTGAAGAAAAAAAATCAAATTTGCTGATTTAGATAGGCCTTTCAGGTTGCAATCGTTGTTTTTGATGTGGTGGGTTTAATAATGTTGCTTTAATTTAAGATTGCGTGTAATTTAAAGTCAAATTTTTGTATTCGTTGAAGTAACTTGTTGAACCTGGCTCACTTTCCTCCTTACCTACTAAACATGCCCCAACAATTAGATTCTAGACGTAAAACTAATTCAACAAATTCAGGGTTGGTTGAACATAATTCCATCAGAAATTGTCTTAAAAAGTCTTAGCTTAAAAAGACTGATGCAAATTGATATTTTTCATTATTATTATATTTTTTAGCTCAAATATTTCTTTTTAAAATGCAGGTTTCTGTCAATTTCTATTCAGAGTTGGATTAAGATTTAGACTTTGTGTTTTGTTCATAAAAACAGTAAACTTTTAAATAATTTCAACTCAAAAATATCAACCAGCAAACCAAAGAGCAATTTTTATTTTGTGCATGATGGAGAATTTACCAGAATTATTATTAATCATAAGGCACATCTGACCCTTTTACTGAAGCCTTTGATCACAGGTTTCTTCCTGTGCACTCTTAGCCTCGCTGTTCTTAATTATAGGTTGCTGATCAATATTGTATGAGCTACAGTAATCTCTTGTAGTACCCAAGAATAGCCTCCTAAGTGCTGATTCATGTGCAGCAGGCTGCTCCTCAGCTCATGTGCTCAGTGCACCGGGATTATCGACAGGTGGCATCACCGGCAAATGCTGAACAAACTGTTGTCACCTTCAACCCCATATGTACATATATGCCTTCCTCATCACAATAACACGCATCTCTGCACTGTGATATCGGTTATAGTGGTGCTTGAGGTGCGTTTAAAGGGGAAAATTGTGCAGATATGACAAAAAGATGTAAATATGAGGAACTATTGGGGTACTGTGGGTAGAATTGTTTCTATAAAGCACAAAAAAGTCACTATTCAGAAGATTATGTAGATATAATAAAGACACATTTAGGTTTTTGTGGGATTTTTGGCAGCAATAATAGTGTTTTGTTCGTTTTTAATGTGGTAGGTGAACTTCAAATTGCAAGTTTGAGGACTTTATTGTTGCTCGTAATTTATTGGAGCTTTTAAAAAAAACAACTCAATATATTTTTTTTTTAAAGAAGAAGAAGAAGAAGCAGCTTTAATGCAAACAAAATTGGCTGCATATCTATGTTTAATCACCAGATCTAAGATTGATTCGATGATTAAATGTTGTCAAAGAAAGGAGGTTGAGCCTGAACGCAACATTTTTGATTGACAGGCCTCCCCTGCCCTGTCAACAATAGAACTGGGAGTGGAGTGGGCGTGTCCGTGCGCATCACCGACCAATCAGGGAGCAGGTGGGCCTGCCGGAGCAGCTGCGGAGGGGCGGGGCCGCATTCAGGGTCTGCGGGGAGAAAAGGCAGCCAGACGGAGAGAAGCAGCGGCAGAGGAGAGAAAAAAGAGACGGTCGGTAGGGAGGATGTGTGTGCGGTGATCGGTGCAGTCAGAGCCGGATACTGCTTTTACAGCCGCACCGGACCGCCGCGGAGCCTGCCTCTCTCCTCTCCTCCCCCGTTCCCTTCCGAGCGACCCTCCGCGATGTCCGGCGGGGGAGAGGTGCGCGTCCTCCGCCAAGAGGCCGGGCAAGAGAGTCCGAGGATGCCGGCCTGGAAGCGAGAAATCCTGGAGAGGAGGAAAGCGAAGGGCGGCGGGTCTGGGGGAGCCGGAGCCCCGGAGACGAGCCCGGGCGCTGCGGGCCCACAGCGGGTAAACGGCGACGTAGCGGGGAACGTGAACGGCAGCGGCGGCGCTGGAGGTGGAGGAGGAGGTGCTAGCGGACCCAAAAGAGACAGCGGAGCGGCCGGCGGTGGGTCTGGGCGGAACTACACCATCACCTCGGCCAGCCAACACTTCGCCAACAACAAAGAGCCGCGACCGACGGCTGCCGAGAGGACGACACCGAGGGACGAGGACCGACACGAGAGCCTGGTGCTGCAGGAGAGCCTGGGGCCGCTGGAGGAGAACCCGTTCATCAAGCTGGAGAAGGAGCGGAGGAGGCAGCAGGACCGAGACAACGCCACCCGGCCGGTGCAGCACATCCTGGAGCTGTACGGCAGCGTCCCCGGCATACGGACTATCCGAGCGGAGAACATCATCATCATCGAGTCGGACCCGGACTACTTCGCGGAGGCAGGAGGCGCTAAGAGCGGCTCCAAGTGGCAGCAAAACGGCGTGAGTAGTTACAGCTCTCTGAACGACCTTCTGGACCGGAGAGGGAGTGCTGTTACCGAGATAAGAGCCAAGGAAGTGGTCATTTACGACACCACGTTGAGCAAGAGTGAGGAGAACCTGAGCACCCTGGGCCGTCCGGACCACGAGGCCGCATATGAGTCAGGTGAGGGTCAGGGCCGGGTCAGCCGCATCCTGCAGAAGTTTGACAGCAACTACGGGAAGCTGCAGAAGAAGTCCCACAGCACAGAGAACCTGCTGGACCTGGACTGCAGTGCCAGCAGCAGGCCAAGACTCTGGCCCAAGCCACAGCCAGAACTGGTGCCAAAGCCCAGGCCGGGCCCCTCGGTCAGCAGCCCGGGCAGCAGCCAGCCGTCCTCGCCCGTCTTCCAGAGCCCCTGGTCTTCCAAACCAAAGCCACAGCCTGCCGCCTCCGAGCAGGGCAGCCCTCAGCGCCCCGCTGGGCCCCCACAGTCTGTGTCTTCCTTCCGCCAGCGGTTCGAGGAAACTGGGGTCCACCAAGGTGCTGCCCCCAGAGATGAGCCGGACCGGGGCCCAAGCAAGCCCACCAGGGAGAGAGACTGGGAGGCCGCCGAGGTGCCCCCCAAACCCAAGGTGCCATGCTCTCCGGAGACCCGTCGTGCCCGTGCCGAGACCCCTTCGAGTCCCATCTCGTCCAAGGTGTCCCGTTCCTCACCCGAGTTCGAGATCCGTCCTTCCCCAACGCCGGACCTGGACCGGATCCCAGATGGGGACACCCAGGCTCGGGCCCTCGCAAACCTGCGCCTGCAGTCCAAGAACTCCTTCACGGTGATCCCCAAGCGTCGCCTCGCCGCCTCGTCTGCAACGAGCAGCCCAGTACCGTCCGGCCCGGTCAAGTCTTCCCCCTCCCACAGAGCGGTGGAGGTTTCCACGCCGGGAGTGCCAACCTCCCACAGCCCCGTACTCAGCCCTCAGAAGAGGAAAGAGGAGGTGGAGAGGGTAGCGAGGCCATCCAAGCCTGAACCTACTGTTGCCACAAGTCCTCCTGAACCTTTGTCTCCATCCAGAGCTCCCTTCTCTCCACCTGCCCTGGCCTCACCCCCATCTTCTCCAGCTCTCCCATCCTCACCCCTCATCTCCCCCGTCTCATCTCCTGCCCATTCCACCCCCTCCCCAGCTCCGAAGCAACCTCCTGCAGATCAGCTGCCGGTAACCAACATAGACGACATCGAGGTGGAGCCCCCTCAGCGAGTCCCCGTCCCCAGCCCCATGGTGCAGCGGAGGAAGGGGAACACCTTCACCGTGGTGCCTAAACGTAAGGTGGAGTCCGACGCCCAGCCGAGCTCACCAGAACCCCAGCAGGAAGCTCCGGGCGAGGCCACGCCGACTTCAACGCCGGCTTCCACGCCTCCCCAGGCCCCCTACGCTCAACTGGGCACCCTGCTGAAGAAACGCTACCCTGCTGTGGAGGAGATCGAGGTGATCGGCGGGTACCTCTCCCTGGAGAAGTCCTGCCTCTCCAAGACGGGCTCCACGGGGAAGAAGGTGAGAGCCAACACTCAGACAGACCTTGTGGCAGGTTGTATGTAGGGATCACACAGACAGAAGTATCCTGCAAAAATGTGAACTATCTGGAGGATTGGCTGCTTTTCAGTCCTTCATACCTCCTTCTCACTGATTCCTAGATCATCCTCCTTCAGCGAAACCAAACACTGCAGCACCACACCACCCAGAAAGTACTAAATTTGTTGTTCCCTTATGCATAACATGTGCAAAATCCTCCCCAGGCCGATCATCCAAGCTTCCTCTGATCTAAATTTAGCAGCCAAGCGTCACACAGGAGCGGCTCTGTTTGTGTTTTCTTTGCATCTCCAGTCACTTAACTGTTCTTTAACCAAATCCGTGCACGCTCCTGTCACCCGCTTTCCAGCTCGGTTTTCCAGTTAATCCTTGTTTTCATGTGTTTTTTTTTGCGAGAGAGAGTGTCTGCTACTCTAAATCCCCTCCTCGTCCCATCACTTGACCTGCTGCAGGCCTCGATGCCTAAGTGGATTAAAAGCGTGTGTTTACACAGCCACTTGGAACAACACACAGCGCTCCTCTTTTTTTATTTTTTTCCCCTCCTGTGGCTTGACGTCCCACAAAAGCACGTTATTTGTCGCAGCGTCATTGGGTTAGGTGGCCCTCCAAGCCTATTTACTGAACAATCTCATCAAGGCTGTATTCGGTTCTCGAGGATTTGGCTCTGGTGTCTTCCTGCTCTGACCCGTCCCGGTCCGTCAGGGATGCATCCATTGTTTTTCTTATTCATCTGAGTTTGCGAGCTATTCCCAGGCCTGGCGCTAAATCATAATTAAATGATAGCGGGGAGTGTGTTTTGGGCGTTTTATAATCATGATCACATCTCTGGCGCCTGCCTGCTGAGGGTCCTGCTGCATGTTGCTCCTGTTTCATGTGTATTAGGGATTAATTAAATATCAGAGAATGTTTCTAATTAATTTTTTTCGCGAGGTGCTGCAGGCTGCTTTCAGATTCCGTGCTGGATCGGCCTGCGTGCCAAGCATTATTTTCAGCACGTTGGTGGTTTGCTCTAATATCTGCAGTGAAGGGAAACTGTTCCATCCTGTAGCTTTGCACCTTTCTATTGACGTCTTGGCTCTTTATTTCAGTTTGTCCAGCTGAACAAAAAAAAAAGAAAAGAAAAGCACATTGCAGCGTGAGGAAGCATTGAGTTGCCTTTGCTTTCCTGATCTACAAAGCACCACATCGCCTCTAATTCTGAATGTTTTGAGCCTTTTGGCAGCTCTTCAATCTGGGCCGGCGTTGCAGCCACTCAGATGTTGGCCTGCGGTCCTGTTTCCTTGACCCGGTGCGCCGTAATCCTCTGCTCTCCGACTAAATCCAGCCTCCTCTTACAGGCAGGGCAAGAAACATGCAGCTCACAGTGTTATCGAGGGCTCTTTGAGGAAATACAAAACACCAAACCTACGAAAACCCGACAAAACATCTAAAGCAACATTGCAGGACTGTGGACTGAGCAGGTGTGGAAGCATCTTGTGTAGGGCTGTCACGGACATGAAATTAAGTTGATTGTCATAAGAATTATAGCAATTAACAGTTTAACTGCAATTTTCTGCTAATTTCATGCCGCTATTAGTTCAAATTAGTGGTTTTAGCACTTTTGAACGTCACCTTTTTGCTGCAAATTCAACAAATCAAGTGTTTCTCCTTTTCCAAAGTTGACTTTGCGACTAAATCCATGACTTTAATGTCAATAGATGCTCGATGAGTTTTACAAATGAAAAGCACCTCAAGATAAACAGTTGGTGCTATTAAACCATCGCAGACAGAAGAGGGTGCAAACGGTTTCATCCTGGAAACCAATCTGCAGAAATAGTCACGCAAACTAATCGCGAACACCCGAGGATTATTTCTGTTTGTCTGTTTAGGTGACGATCCTGTATCGCAGCTTGTTTCTGCAAAACATGCAACAGTTGAGAACTTTGGCTTCTGTTCCCAAGTTGAAAAAAAACCATCTTGAGGAAACCGTGTTCGTGTTCATCTGCTACATCATCTACTGGCAGCGATGTTCTTGCAGGTTTTCCAGCGAGTCAGACTGAAACAGTCACACCCTCGATGCCAGGAGTCGTTTTGCTGCACTTAAAACTTTAAAACGTGAGTTCGTCTTCTCTGCAGAATTTTCTCTGCAAGTCCCTGTGCTTGGAAGTCGTATTTCTGGCGTCCCTGGAAACTCCGGGACTAGGATTTAAAATAAAGTTCTGCGGCTTGGTAACAGATTTGTCCGTGCGTGTGTTTTCCACCGCTGACCGTGACACACGAACACATCCTGCCTTTTGTCCTCACACAAAACCAGAAACACTTTCTGTTCTCGGTCATCATCAAGGGCCCAGACATTTTTTTCTTTTCTCTTTCTGGGCAGGGCTGCTCAGGCAATTACAAAAGCATCGAGGCTTGGCCTAGCCCGTATAATTTGTGTGGAATTTTTGTTCAGTGCCGCTTCTGTGTGAGAGCTCAGCGTTCTGCTCTGGGATTGGGGTTTTTTTTTTTTTTTTTTTGAGCTCTCTTTTTCCAACAAACTGTTTTTTTATGAGCTGAAAAAGAATGTTCCATGTGCACGTCAGGAGTCGAGAACTTCCTCTAGGTTTTTCCAGAAACGTTTCACCCTGATTTCTGAACTCTCCAGAACAACTCAATGTTGTTGGAGGACATCCAGCTCCGACTCCCCGGTAGCCTCGCTGCACTCTGCTCTTTGTTTCGTTCCCGTCGACCCACAGCGCTGCTTTATTCCTGCTGGTTAATAAGGCCTGTCCCTGTGCTTCCAGCTTCCTGTGATCTCCTCTCTATTGGGGAATGGAATTGTGGAGGAGCTATGTAGGTCAAGTGCAGCTTCTTGTACCACATCGCTCCCCCCCCCACCCCCCAATTTGCATAAAATCGACTTTTTAGCGAGACCAGGATTGACTCACTTTCCATCTGTGATTTGATTGGATCGGGCCGTCCTGACTGAGTGCAGGCGAAATTGGCAGGTTTTTTTTATTTTCCCTTGTGGTCGACGCTGCAGCTTTGCAAAGCAGAGATGGCATCAAGACGCAGGAGGGGGGCGGAGTGGTTTGTTATTGCTGCTCCCAGCGACTGGTTATTATGGGAAAAAGGGACCCGAGCGTTTGTCAGCACAACATCCAGAGCGAGAGGGGTTTTTTTTTCCAGAGTTTCTGTATTCGCAGAGGAGCCGCTCCGATGGCTAATATCTAAATTGCTGCAGCGCGTTTATGTGCAATTATGACCGTTCTGTCAAGCTGATGATTATTCGCTTTAGTGAAGAGGCTCGTGCGTGTTTGTTCCTGAAAGGGGATAATTATGCAGATGAATGACTGTTATTGTCGTGGAAGTTGAAGTAGGTTTTGGTTTATTTTCTATTAGAGCAGGACGAGCTTTCTGATTGGACGGACGCAGCTTTGGCCTGCTGCGTTTCAGACCCACCTCGGTTGGTTTTACACGGAATCAGTGAGCTGTCAAAGCAAAACAGAACAACCAGAGTAGATGGCAAGTTTCAGTATTAGAGCAAAAGCTGAACTGCTACTGAACTTATTAGCTGGTCATGGATATTTGCGCTCACGTTTTGCCATATTGTGCAAAAGTCCCATCATGAACTCTCAGCGTGTGATGATTCAAGGAGTTTGAGACGAAAACTAGACGTCTGCACTTCCTGTGTGCTCGGTTTAGAATCTGAGATAAGATAAACTTTATCGATCCCTCGCCGGAAATTCACACGGAGTCAGATACGAATGAAGCAGAGACAAGACAAGAAACAGAAGTATGATTGAGATGAAGACGAAGCCATGATAAGGACTTTCATATGCACAGATGAGGCGTGATGGATAATGTACCCGACGGTGCTGCATATAGAAAGAGCGTTTTATTGGATTATTTCACTTGGAAGAGCTGTAAGAGAATGATGGGAGGCCTCGACCCGGCTCAGGCCTTTTTACTCAGATGAGAGAAAGCAGTGAAGTCGAGTCTGATGATGGGATGTGGTAAATGGACGACTCTCATTCAGGAGAGAGCCATAAGTTATTATTGATGCTTGATTTGATTATTTTTGTGGATTAGAAATGTGTAAATATGCCCTTTTTTCACATTTCTGCTCACTGCTAGTGTGAAATAGCTCCGCAAACTTACTTTTAGATGGAAATCTGTGTGTTTTTGTTGGCAATTTATCAGAAAAATCTAAATATATTGCAAAAACATATGAAAAAAAGTTTAAACCTGGATCACTCTGGATCGTTTGGATTCACATGATCACAGATCTGTGCTTCTTTTAATTTACATACTATTGGATTTGTTATTTTTGTCAGTTTTCAAAAATCTTACTTATGGGCACGACTCCGTGGCTCCGACGCTAAAGCTGGTTTGTTTACTAATCGTGAGGTTGGTGGTTCGATTCCTCCACATGGAATCATGTGAGTTTGTGAGAATGAGAAACATTTGTGAATCTTAACTGATGCATTTCGGCAACACTGAAGTTCAGACACAATCTTCTTCGACTCTGCAGCTCCTGACATGTGAGACGAGCAGCTGTCAGGCCTCGTGGTGAGGATTTATCAGTCCATCCATCACAGAGCATCTGACTTTCTCTGCAAAAGCTGCATCAGATCTCTCATCCAGTTCGTACATGAGGGCGGAGTTTCATCTTTCCACATGAGAAGCATTAGACAGAGATGCAAGCGCAGTCGTATCACATTTATATTTTGGGTGTTTGCTTGTTCAGCAACCACATTCAAATGAGAATCACCTCTGAGAGAGTTTTAAATACACTTAGAGCATCACCATGTTCAGTTTTGACTCATTTTTCTTCAGTGTAACGAAGATAACGGACGACTTTAAGCCGTGGGAGTCCTTGCCGTGCTCATTGATGTGAGGAATGTTCAGAATTCAGTCTCACGTTTCCTCGTCGAGTCGCAAATTTAGATCCTCTTTCTGCAAACCTGTGATTATAGATGCAAGATGAGAAATTAGCTCATCTG